GTGGTGCCAATGCTATGTGAGGCTTTTCCTTGAGCTTTTATTGAGTAAAATGCAGAGGTTTTAGAGGGCTTTGAGCAGAAGACTGACAGGATCTTAGAGTTCTACAGTATCTCTCTGGCTGCTGAACTGTGAACACAGGGAGGCAAGGATAGAAGCTGGGAAATCAATAACAGGGCTACAGCAAAAATCTGGGCCAGAGAGAGGGATGGTGACTTGAGCTAGGGTGGTAGCAGGAGAGGCAAAAAGAAATGGCCATCCTCTTGTATCCTGATGGTTAGCAGCCAGGACTTATTGAAGCAAGGTTGTGGGGTGTGAAGAAAGCAATCAAGAATGGTTCCTAGGTTTGGGCCCTGAGCAAAGGGAAGGATGGGGTTGCCTTTTATCAAATGGGAAGACTGAAGAAGGAACATGCTTATGATAGGGCCAGGAGGGGGAGATCATTAGTTCTTTAGATATATTAAATTTGAGACATCTGTTAGACATCCAAATGGAGATGCTGGGTATGTAGCTGGTTATATGAGTATAATAGAGGTAAGTGTCAGAAACAGGGCAATGGAATGTTTTACAAGTTGTCTCTCTAAACCCCCCCCCATCCCTAATCCTTTTTGGGAATTAAAACTTGCATTCCATCCTGAGGCCAGTGATCAAAGGGGCAGAAAAATGTTCTTTGCTATTTATTCTTTATTATCTTAAAACAGGATTGTCTGCACAAGGACAAGGACCACAAGATGGTAGTCACCAGAGATAAGGTCATGATGGCCCAAGACCCAAAATGGAAAACACGAATTATAGTTAAGCGGCAATAGCCAGAGGCTGTGACATGTGATACTGGTCAAGCAGGCCAGAAGCATACTGCCAACCCCGCCCCCCCTTTAAAAAGCCCTGTATTTCTGCTTAAAGAGAGGATGGCAGTCTTTGAGATGTTAGTCTGCTGCCCCCATTTGTGAGCAAATTAATAATATACTTCTCTTTCCTTTTCCTCAAACCACTTGTTCTTTGTTCTGATTCAGCCTTGGGGACAAGTACCAAACCTCTGGTAACATGAGTATGGAATCCTGGGCTGGAGATATTAAATTTGAAGTTGTCAACAAATAGATATTTAAAGCCATGATATAGAACAAGAGTCCCATGGAGATGATTACAGAAAAAGAACAGAGGTCCAAAGATTCCTTGGAATCCCCATGTCTAGAGTAAGGAAAGATAACTTGGGAGAAGCCACTGTCAGTGAAGAATAAGGAAATCTAGTTAAGTGTATCCTGGAAGCCAAGTGAAAAAATTGCTCAAGCGAGAGTGATCACTAATGTATCAACTAATTGTTGCAAGATTCACAGTATAAGGACTGAAAAAAGATCACTAGATTTAGCCACATGGAGTTGATCAACTACCTTTGACATGAGTAGAAACAAAGACCGGATTGGAGTGGGTGCAAGAGGTATGGAGGAGGCAGCAATGGGGACAATGAGTATTTCACATCTCTACTGAGGAATCTTGCTATTAAGTGAAGCAAGAAATGGGAGTAGTAGGTAGGTGGAAGCGAATGTAGAATATATTTGGGATGAGAAAAATTTACACCTATTAATTGCTCACGGGAAAGCATCCCAGTAGATTGAGGCGGAAAAGATGTTGGAAAAAAGGACAATTGTAGGAATGATGCCATAGTTAAGGATGGCGATCTAATACACCAGAGGAAGAGCTGTGTTAGCGTTAAGAAACACAAAAGCTTCAAACTATAAGCAACAGAAGAAGGAGTGCAAGATGAGCATGTACACAGGTGAGGAGTTATCTTTTGATTGCCTTTTTATTATTCTCCCTTAAACTCAGAAATAAGGCACAGGGTGAGCTGAGAGTAGCCAAAGTGCCTGGCTAGGTTAGAGAAAAGAGGTAGGTAAAAGCACCTTAGAGAGCAGGCAATGACCTGGACTAGGGAAACAAGTATGGGAGGTTAGCCAGACAGAAATTAAGTGGGACTAATCAATTCGATGGTTTTGTTTTCCTTTCAGCACAACATTTAAGCTGCATGTGGGAATAGAATAGGCCAGACAGACTTGTGTTTGGCAGATACTTTGGCTGCCTAAATTTAAATGCTGCTACATATTAAATTAAAGAAATATGCACCAATTTTATTAACCATTCATTACTAATGTTTCTGTTGTACCCTTATAAATTCTTTCCAACACTGCTGCCATGGAACACCTCGTGTCACTTTGTCCTACATGGGCCACGCGCAGTGGTCACGCCTGTCAATCCCAGCACTCTGGGAGGACCGGGTGGCGCGATCACTCAATGGTCAGTAGATCGAAACCAGCCTGGGGAGCGGAGACCCGCCGTCTACCAAAAAATTATAAAGAAACATAATTGCGCCAACTATCACATTGTTTTTATTTTTGCAAACATTTCTGACTTCAAGACATTTCCATTTATGAGCCAGTTGTCTTTATGAATGAATCTCGCACTTGCATTGCCCACCTAGTAAATACGTTCTTACGGTACCTACTACATGCTGGTATTTTATAAGCAGGGGCGACAAACAGGACGTGGACTCTGCTTCCTGGAACTCACAATCTAGTATGGGGAAAAAGAATATCAAATAATCACAGATACAATTGTGGTAACATGAAAGACCATACTAGTAATCTATGAAAACTTAAAAGGAGACCAATTTAGTTTAAGTGGCGGTCAGCAAAAACCTTTTCCGAAGTGCCAACTGCATTTTCAAAGATGAGTAGAATTAACCAGCTTAGTTATATTTTTAAAAGCCCATTACGGCCGGGCTCGGTGGCTCATGCCTGTAATCCTAGCACTCAGGGAGGCCAAGGTGGGTGGATTGCTCGAGGTCAGGAGTTCGAAACAGCCTGAGCAAGAACGAGACCCCATCTCTACTATAAACAGAAAGAAATTAATTGGCCAACTAATATATATAGAAAAAATTAGCCGGCATGGTGGCGCATGCCTGTAGTCCCAGCTACTCGGGGGGCTCGAGGCAGTGAGGATTGCCTGAGCCCAGGAGATTGAGGTTGCTGTGAGCTAGGCTGATGCCAAGCACTCAGTCTAGCCTGGGCAACAAAGCGAGACTCTGTCTCAAAAAACAAACAAACAAACAAAAAAAAAACAAAAGTCCATTGCAGCTATAAAGATCTGAGTTATCACCACCATTAGCAAGTGTAGATGTATTTTTCTTATCTTCCATACAGCGTGTGCTAGATGCTCTGGCAGATTATAATGGTTGCCCTGGCGGCCCTTCCCCAGACATCATGAGGCAGAAGTGGGAGACCGGTTTCTCCTGCCTCCCTTTTGCAATTTTGAGACAATTACTCCTGCACTGTCTTACCAAGTTATTCTTTTATGAATCCCACACCAGCTGGTTATACCACCCTATATATCGCTGACACAGTAAATCTCATTTTGGATATTTTATTTAATCTCATTTTGGGTATCACCTTTAATATTCAACAGGAAAAAAACGTGGGTGCTTAAAGTATTCAATCTCATTATAAAAAAAAACAAACCAAAACAATCCAAATATTGTCTCAATAGTAGGAGACTTGTGTAGCAACATGAAAAACATTTATGATAAAGTTATTTTTTTTTAAGTATAAGATTTTATCTATAGTATAGGCAACTGTAAATAACTGATATATTAAGGTGTGAGAGTGGTGGGTGAATTTAGCAGATTTAATTTATTGAAATAGTCAAGAAAAACAATGCAAGGCTCTTCACCATGTGTGTCTCCCACTCAGTCTCAACTTAAAGTGTCATCATATGCCTTCAACCACTCATCCCCAGCTGGGCGAGGTGGCTCACGCCTGTAATCCTAGCACTCTGGGAGGCCGAGGCGGGCGGATTGCTCGAGGTCAGGAGTTCAAAACCAGCCTGAGCAAGACCCCGTCTCTACTAAAAATAGAAAGAAATTAATTGGACAACTAAAAATATGTATACAAAAAATTAGCTGGGCATGGTGGCATATGCCTATAGTCCCAGCTACTCGGAGGCTGAGACAGGAGGATCGCCTGAGCCCAGGAGTTTGAGGTTGCTGTGAACTAGGCTGACACCACAGCACTCACTCTAGCCTGGGCAACAAAGTGAGACTCTGTCTCAAAAAAAACCAAAAAACAAAAACCACTCATCCCCAAATGACATTGAGTTACATGCAGCATCTTGAACAAAACATGGTTCTGGAGACATTGGAGTTAGAGTAAGAGCTATCCCTTTGGGGGTAGACAATTCCAATTCAAAGACTGAATCTGGGAAATATTAAATACTACCTTGGGTGAGTTTATGTACTTCTTGAGACCCCCCCTTCCATTATAAAACAAGGATATAATACATGTATTAGGTTTCTTTAATGCAAACAACAGACACATAAAAAATTAGCTTGCACAAAAAGGAGGATTTGTTGGACTAATAGTGGGGAGCTCACTGAATCCTAAGGAGAAGAAATTAAGCTAGGTCCTAGGACCTCAGGGAATAGAAAGGAGAACACCATCATGTCAGCCTCATCTCATCCTATACAACAGACCTTGTATCTCTGGTAAGAAATTGGACTCCAAGAACCTCTAGCTCTTTAACTTTTCAGCATAGCAACCCCAAAATAAGGCAAGTTCTCCTTCCAGCTCTACTTTGAAAATATTCTGGCAAAGGACTCCAGTTGGCTGAACTAGGTCACAATCCTTCCCCTAGAACTATCACTGAGCCCTGGGGACATCCTGACTTGTGTTTTTGTGGTCAGTACAACAGGAATAGCTACAAGAGGAAGACAATGGGAAAGCTGGGCAAACAAAGACAAGAGCAACCACAACACCTCTAATTAGGAGTTGTAAAATTGAACGAAATGAAACATTAACATAATGTCTTTTAAATAGTAAGCATTCAATAAATGGTAGGCATTATTATTAACAACTCACCTGGATACGATGAGTTTAGCAGTCAATCCTTTCTTCTTGATGTGCCATTCTTAAATCTTAGCCAAGTTCTAAAAATTGAAAAAGACAAACTGACTCCCATTCAACTCAGAAGGCTATTTATTGAAAGAATACATTGATGTTACAAGGATGCAATTCCTATAGCTCTGCAAGGGTATGTATAAGTGTACGGTGCACGGCTGCTAGGACTAGGAAATCCCTCTGCTCAATCAGCCACACGTACATCCTGGGCTCCCTCCTGTCAGTGAAGATGTACTGAAATTCAGAGTAGTGGCTGGATCCAAGCCAGGCTCCAAAGACACACAAGTGGTCTCCTTTAAGTCTTCTGGAACTAAGTTTTTATAAACCTCCGTAACAGTGGAACAGCACTCAGTTACAATTCATGCCACTCCTGGAAGTAGGCCACTATGGGGACCCTCCAAACAACCAGCAGTAAAATAAGATCCTGACATGCATCCCAGCCAATCAGTAGGGGAGGCTCTGAGTAGAATTACCCATTGTCAACTACATATCAGACAACACAAGCATGGTCTTGGCATTGTGTGTGAGCTAAGCATGGAGCATCATAAACAAGGGTTTCTTTTTTTTTAGTGGTTAACATCTCAGAAGGGCAGATCTGCTATGGAATAGCCCATCTTGCTTCACAGGTGATAGACTCAATGGTCTACACATACATTTCAGCCCCCATGCACATTTTTCCCTGCAGAGGATGAAGAATGCTTGGGAGCTGCCTCATGCCATCCAGGATGAGAGAAGCGTGATGGATGCTGCTGTCTGGCACAAAAAGAAGCCAGTAGGAAAGGTTAACCATCAACACCAGTGACATCATTTCACTCCATGATTTATAATTAGGTATGGAAAAATTTGCCTATCTTAAGGGGAGAAGAGGTTCTTGTGTGAAAGGGGCCAGTGTCCACAATTGCTTCCAAATTTCTCTGCTCTGTGATGAACCAACAAAGGTTCTAGAAATTTCTTTAGGATAAACCATTAGGGGATGGAGCAGGCCATGTAAGCTTAGCTCATGCTTTACTGATGCAAAGGCACCACAGAGCTAAAATTAGTAGACTTTTTTTTTTTAACGGGGAAATATTACCTTTGCACACAAAATGAGCCAATACATAGCATTTCTCTGAGTCAAAGACAAAACTGATGGCAATGGGTAATTAGACTTATATTTTTCTACAGTAAAATTAACTGGGAAAAAATTCTCTTAGTTTTGTGTCATTTTCCCACTGATCTGATATAGGAAGTTTGGGGCAGTGCTTTTTCATGAGTATGCCACAAAAAGCACAGGATTTATTAGTGCTATGAAACCAATGTTAGCTGGAAGAATAATTATAACTGGGAGAAGGAAAAATGTCACCAGTAGTTCAACTATCTACAGTTTGTTTTTTGGTTGTAAGCTTGCAAGAAGTTGCTACAATGACTCCACTACACTCTAGCCAGGGCAACAGAGCAAGACTCTGTCTCAAAAAATTTTTTTATTTTAAAGCCCTCTGAATTCCAAAATACCTTTTCAGTGGCAAGGACATGGAGCTAAAGATCCAGGAAACCTGAATTCTGAACCCAGCTTTGCCATTTAGGTTGTATCACACTGTGCAAACCACTTCACATCTTTGGTTTTTAGTATCTTCATCTGTACAATGAAGTGGCTAAGCTAGTTGACCTAATTCTTTGAATGGTGAATTCCCGGAGGTGGAATTAGTTTCCATGGCGAAGTTAATGTAAGAGCTGCAGTTGAGTGCAGCTGTCAAACAATTTTAAAATAAGCGTCAGTTATTATAGCAGGAGTTCTATGTTTTTAAAAGGCTGTCAACAGTGGGAGTTACAAGTCAAGCTGTTGAAACTTGGTGATCTCCTGCATATATTCAAAAGCTTTATAAAGTCCAATATATAGGAATATTTCCAACTGCTACATATGGTGTTTGTAGTTGTTTTACAACATTCTGTAATTAGATCTGAGAATGTGGCTTTTATTTATTAAACAAAATTCTGTTGACTGGCACAGAGTTTTCTCCACACTCAACATAAAAACACATGATTCATCACATTCTCAAGCTTCCTCTCCAGTAAGAATCCTCTGATACTGAATCAGAACAGTATTTTAGCTAAAGTGTTCTGCACCTTCAATTTCAGGGTTTCTAAAGTTTATTTCGTGCATGAATCCTCTGGTGTTTAGTAAGAGCTGAGCTTCGGCTAAAGTTTTTCCCACATTCCTTACAAGAATAGGGTTTTTCTCCAGTATGAATTCTCTGATGATCGTGCAGGTTAGTTTTCTTTCGGAAGGCTCGTCCACATTCATTACATTCATAGGGTTTCTCTCCGGTATGAGTTCTCTCATGCTGAATAAGAGATGAACTTTGACTGAAGGCTTTTCCACAGTCTATACATTCATAGGGTTTCTCTCCAGTGTGGGTTCTCTCATGTTGAGTAAGCGATGAGCGTCGACTGAAGGCTTCTCCACACTCATTACATTCATAGGGTTTTTCTCCAGTATGAATTCTGTGATGCTCTATGAAACTTGTACTCCTTTTGAAAGCTTTTCCACATACATTACATTGGTATGGTTTCTCCCCAGGATGAGAAATAGGTTGTTGACTAAACGCCTGCTCACAGTCATAGGGGTTCTCTCCAGAATGAATCCTCTGATGGTCAGTAAAGTCTGTAATGTGATTGAAGTCTTCTCCACAGTCATTACAATGATAGGATTTCACTTCAGTTAGAGTGCTTTCATCTTGTGTAAGAGATAAGGTATGCTTGAAATCTATGCTGTAGTTATTGCTTTGGTAAGGTTTGCCTCTCTTATGAATCCTCATATGTTTATAAAGGGATGGGCTCTGACCAAAAGCCCTCCCACATATGCTACATTCAAAAGGTTTCTCGCCAGTATGAGTCCTCTCATGTTGGACTAGGGAAGAACATCGACTGAAGGCTTTCCCACATTCTTTACATTGGAAGGGCTTCTCTCCACTATGTGTGACCTCATGTTGAGTAAGGGATGTGCCATGCCTAAATGACCTTCCACATAGATTACATCGATAGGGCTTCTCTCCGGTGTGAATTCTCTGGTGTTGAACAAGGGAGGAGCTGCGCTGGAAGGCCTTCCCACAGAGACTGCACTGATAGGGTTTCTCTCCTGTGTGAGCATTCTCATGTTGACCAAGGGATGAGCTGTGCCTGAATGCCTTTCCACACACATTACATTCAAAGGGTTTCTCCCCAGTGTGAATTCTCTGGTGCTCTGTAAGCTGTGTCTTCCAGAGGAAGGTTTTCCCACAGTCAGTACACTCATGGTGTTTCTTTCCAGGATAAATTCCCTGATCTGTACCATTGGGGAAAGCTCCCTCTCCCTTGTGAGTTTTCTCATGTTTAGTAAGTGACGATCTATGAATAAAAGCTTTTCTACATTTATTACATTTAAAGGGTTTCTTTTTTGTAAGGATATTGCTCTGATTAAGTAAGTCTGAATTATGTTCCAAATTGTTTCCAAGTGTCTCACATTCACTAAGCCCTATTCTAAAAGGAATGTTCAGTTGTGTAACCAGGTCTGTGTTCAATCTAGAGTTTTCACCAAGTTTATTTTGCTCAAAATTTTCTTGTGGTGTGATTATTTTCTTCTGGGTGGGTGCCTCTGGCCCCAGATGTCTCTTCCAGTTTTCCTGGTGCTTCTCTAACTGGCTGTCAACATCCCAGGAGTCTTCTAATGTGGCATGTGAGAGATTATCTGTGCTATGGGATATTTCTGATACACTCTGCTGCAGATATGATGATTTGGCTTCAGGCCTGATCTTCCAGTCTGAAAGAAATCCAAAGTACAAAAGTCCCCTATTCCTTTCTGTTGAAACAAACTGCTACAGTAGGAATTAGGAAATGAAAGAGATACAAATTATACATGACTCTGTTTTGAAATTAGTCCTGTATCCTGGGGAAAAGACCCAAAATGGAGGAAAGGAAGAGTGAAAAGAGATAATAGTAAAGACTATAGATCCAGACTGTGTGGTAAGTCCAGAGAATGAGGAAAGCTCATTTAGGAGAGATCGTTAGGGAATAAGAGAATAAGTGAGCATGAGTGTGTCAGGCATGGATACAAATGGAATAGATCATAGTCTACCTTCCAGGATATTATCTGCTCTCTATGTCTCCTATCATTTCACAAACCACCATGAAATCTATTTTCCCAATATATCCATTTAATAATTTATTTAAGGTCCAGTCTTTAAGGTTCCAGGTCTCCAAATGCTGCAAAGAAAAATCTATACCCAGTTAGCTAACCAAAATGGTTCTGACATACTTGGGAGATCAAAGGCTATACTTTACAAACTGAGGAAGAGTAGTATTTCAGGAGGTAAATCATCTTTGCCCTTATAAATGGTGCTTTTGGTCCATTTGAGCTCTGGATCTACACTAATCACTTCTCTTGACCAAGGAGGATGTATTTCAATCAGCCTAATAAATTGATCTCTAAGTCCCCATTTTTACTTCGGAACACCAATAGCAGAGAATTAATTAATACCTAGGTTCTAAGAATGTGAACTTTTAAAATCTAAGGGCAGAAGGCTGGGTGTAGTGGCTCATGCCTGTAATCCTAGCACTCTGGGAGGCTGAGGCGGAGGATAGCTTGAGCTCAGGAGTTCGAGACCAGCCTTAACAAGAACAAGACCCTGTCTCTACTAAAAATAGAAAAAAAATTAGATGGGTAACTAAAAATAGAAAAAATTAGCCAGATATGGTAGTGCATGCCCATAGTCCCAACTACTCAGGAGGCAGAGGCAGGAGGCTCACCTGAGCCCAGGAATTTGAGGTTGCTGTGAGCTGGGGTGACACCACTGCTCTCTAGGCTGGGCAACAGAGTAAGACTCTGTCTCAAAAAAACCAAAAAACAAAAACAAGAAAAACTAAGGGCAGGGAGCTTTCTGGAGCGATGAAAATGTTCCATATTGACAAGAATTTGGGTTTGATCATCCATACATTTCTTGAAACCACCTAGATGACACATATAAGGGTTATACATTTCACTATATGTAACATTTCCTTAAAACATACAACTGTAAACAAATATTGAACTCCAGTTAATGATATGCATGCTCAAGTGTATAGAGGTAAAATGTCCTCATGTTTGCAACTTACTTGGAAGTACATCAAAAAGATGAATTGATAAATGGATAGATGAAGAGATACCTGATAACACAAATGTAACAAAATGTTAACGACAACAAATGAAATAATTTTGGTGGTATGTATGAGGTGTTGGTTGTATAATTTTTTCAACTTTTCTATATATTTGAAAATTTTCATAATAAAATGTTGGGAAGGAATAAAAACAACAAAGGGGCCCTAAACCTCAAAATTCCTTACCCTGCAACAAGAATCAACTCTGAAATTCTGAGGGCAGACAATGAGATATATATATATTTAAGAACCCTCAGTGGGACATTTGAGAAATGCTTGTAGAAATAACTAATGAGGAAGTTACTTCCCCAACCAGATTTCATAATAATCAATCAAGTAATTTCTGACTATTTTCTATAGGCTCTTCAACACAGATACAATATATAGAAATACTATAATAAATAGATTCGTCCTCCAGGAGCCTGAAATCTAAGAATATAAGTAAGACTCAATCTTTTGACAACTAAAAAAAAAAAGCAAAATCATCAGATGATATTATTATTATTATTTTTGAGACAGTCTTACTCTGTTGCCCAGGCTAGAGTGCTGTGGCATCAGCCTAGCTCACAGCAACCTCAAACTCCTGGGCTCAAGCAATCTTACTGCCTCAGCCTCCTGAGTAGCTGGAACTACTGGCATGCGCCACCATGCCTGGCTAAGTTTTTCTATATATTTTTAGTTGTCTAGCTAATTTCTATTTTCAGTAGAGATGGGGTCTCACTCTTGCTCAGGCTGGTCTTGAACTCCTGAGCTCAAACGATCCACCCACCTTGGCCTCTCAGAGTGCTAGGATTACAGGCGTGAGCCACCGCACTCAGTCCAGATGATATATTATTAATCTGAGTTTGTATGGTAGAGATGACATAAATGGTATTTGTAATCAGGGTAGAAAGATATACATATATTATTATATATTATATCATGGATTATATAGACTTTGAACTCCAAGAACAGATAGTTTTGAATAGGCAGAACTTATTACCTAATGAGGAGGAAGTATATGCTACTTAGAGAGAATATTAACAGAAGTTCAACCTAAGGAAAGCTTGTTTTAGCAGAAAAAGAAAGATAATACTGCAAAGTATGGCAAGGGACCTTTCAATCAAGAGCATTTCTATTTCCTATAATGAGCTATACAGGGAGTAATAATAAGGTTTTGTCAGCGGTTTTAAGAAGATAAAGCATTAAAATCCAGTATGGTCCATCAACTGATGAATGGTTAAACGAGATATAGTATAACCATGCAACTGAATAAAAAGGAATGAAGTACTAAAAAATGCTACAAATGAATGAATCTTACAAACATTAGGCAAAGTGCCAGAAGCTAGTCATATATGATTCCATTTATACAAACTGTGCAGAATGGCCAAATCCACAGAGATAGAAAAGTAGATTAATGGTTGTAAGGGGCTGGAAGGAGTGAGGAATGGGGAGTAACTGTTAATGGATAGGAAGTTTCTTTTTGGGGTGATGCAAATGTTCTGAAATTAGATAGCAGTAATGTATGTTCAACTCTTTGAATATAAGAACAAACACTGACCTGTACACTTTAAAGGGGTGAATATTATGGTATGTGAATTATATCTCAATAAACCTGTAATTTTAAAAATCCAATATGGATTATAAAAACAAAAGACTAAGTGAGAAATTCTAACTGACAATGATAATAATCTAAACCCAGGGCCTGGTTTAGGATGTTATCAGTATAAGTTAAAAGGCAGGAAAAATCTAAGCTACTTCTCAAAGGAAGAAAATAATCTACATGGAAAGAAAAAGGATTAAACTGATTATGATGTCTGGCTTGAGGGATTGATTAGAAATTCAGTGGATTCTAACAGACAAGGGTAGAAATGGGCAAGGTAGCAAAATGTGCTGGTTGGGGATAAAAGATGATGAATTTAGACTTTATGTATTCAATATGAACTGTGTGAAATGTCAAGTGGAGAGGTCCTGTGAGAGAAAAAGAAGTGACCAGGGTACAAGTAAGGGAGATTTCTAAATCCACTGCACGGAATAAGAAGTTGCAACAACCAAAAAGCAAGACCCTTTTAGGGAGGTAATAGAAAAAGTCTAGGAGTCTAGAGGGCAGATTCCTTAAGGCAGATCCATTTGAGGGGAAAAGCAAGAAAAGCCAAAGACCTAAAGCCAAGCAGCACTTAGCAAGCAAGAAGACTAGGAGAGGATGATACTCCAGGAACCACGGAGGAGCAATGAGTCAATTAGCACAAATGTGGGATGGAAGGAAGATGCTGTTGCTCCCCAGGCAGATGTTTTAGACATGTGGTCAGGGAAAGGCATCTGCAGATAGGTTATAAAGGAGGGAGAATCAAGGCTGTGGGTGTTTCCTGTGAGTCTGGGGCATCTGACAGTGAAAGCAAAAAGACAGAACAAGAGACTAAGGGTTTCAATTCACATCTGAATGAGTAGAAAAGGGATCTCTAATTAATGAAGAAAGTTGGAGGCCACCAGGATAACCCCAATAAGTAGGGTTACACGATAGGCAGAAATGGTACTCTGAGTGTAGGGCAGAAGCTACTTTTAGAAAGAAAAAAGGGGTCCCTTTGCCTCTAAGACCTACTAACACCCTTTTGAAAAAGAGAGACAAAAGAGAGACATAATGAGGTGTCACCCAGATGGCTTCAGCTTCCTATGCAGGTCTAGGGGCCCCTAACCCAGCTGCTAAAGAAGCTTCCCCTTCCTAAGCTGTGCCAGCAACTGCATTCCTATATGCCTGAGTCTCACTCATTCTCATTTACCTGGACAGAAACGTCTTTGGATTTCTCCCTCTGATATCCATGGCTCTTCTCCTTGCTCCAATTTGAAGATCACCTCTGGCTTGGAAACTTGATATCCTGCTCATGGGTAAATACACAAGATTTGGTTGTTTGTGCAAGTGGACAAAGAACCCTCCTAAGGACAAGTCAGTACTAGTCCTTGATCCTCAGGAACTCTGAAGGAAAAAAAAGGTGCAACTTAAGGAGTCATGCAATCGAATTGCCTATATCCAGTTCTGCAAAATAAAGACCTTTTACCTAAAGAGTAGGCTCAAAACCCGGTAAAGCTGGGTCCCAATGAGATTAACAAATTCTGACCCCTGAACACCCTGCTCATGGTTACCTAAGCTATGAGCACCACAACCTTAGCAACCAAGGAAGGAAAGACCCACCAATAGGCAAGACACTCAGAAGCGGTCCTTACCAACAGAGACCAGGTGGCTGTAGTTCTCCAGCATCACATCCCTGTATAGTCTCCTCTGAGCAGGGTCGATGTGGTGCCATTCTTCCTGGGTGAAGTCCACAGACACATCTTTGAATGTCACTGATTCCTGTAGGATCACATTCCTGCTCAACTAGGGACCAACCCTACAAATGTTCCCATAGCAATACTGGGAACATATTGTAGGATCTAATAGAAGCAGTGACCACACATTTGTCAGCCTGATGGGGTAATGTTAGGTTATATACACTAGTTGTTTACATCAATTGTTAAAGGATCTAGTAGTGTCAGGCAGGAAAGTCACGAGGGGTAGTTTGTCCTGCAAAGCTATGTTCCCACTTAGCTATCTTCCTAGATTCCTTCAAAGCCAAGCCTTTTTATACAATCTCCAATTCCTTGCTGCCCATTCATTTCCTTTGTTACAAAATCCAAACACAATGGGTAGTAAAAAGTCATGGCCCTCTTCATCCCCATAACCAATCCCATTTTACTCCCCAGAAATAATCTCTTGACAGTTGGCTGTATACACTTAGAGCCCCTTGTCCACGTTTAACACACACACACACATCCAGAACCACATCCATACCTACAACAGAGAATCCTGTTTTATGAAATATCATACACATTGTTCTACAACTTACTTTTTACATTTACCTATGTCTCTTGGAGATCTTTCCATAGTAATATATATATGTATATTTCCATAGTAATATATATATATAATTTCATCTTATTGCTTTGAACTGTTTCATAGTATTCCATAGTATGGTTGTATCATAAAGTACCCACTGCCTAAAATTAACAGAACCCCACTGTATTAAGAATAAAACTCAAATTCCCCCATAGCTCACTGGGCTGGAGCACGCTGGTCTTTGTGTTGCTTGACTAGATCAAGACTGCTCCCACCCTGGCCTTTTTGCTTGCTCTAACCTCTTGATCTCTTCATGGTTGACAACTAGTTACTTTGTTGTCATCTCAAGCATGTTCTCCTTGGAAATATCTTAGCACCTCCCTCTAACTTACTCTCCATCACATTACTGTGTTTAATTTTCCTCCTAGCCCAGGTATCTCCCACTGCCCAAATTCTTGACACCTGAACTCAGAAACAAAACAGATTCAGAGAGAAAGGCCACTTGTACTTCTAACAATTATCTGAGATTAGCTTGTTAGCTTACTGTTTATATCCCTCTGTAAGCTCCATGAGAACAGACTTTATCTATCTTGATCACACTCAACATCTGTTTCCTGAGTTGGGCATTAAGGAGTTGGGTAAGATTTGAACTTTAGAGAAAAAAGGAGTGGCTCCTTCTAGGGACTGAGGTTCATGACCACATCCACACACAACACTGGCTCATCCATACATATTCCTGCTCAGCAGTGTGGCCACGCCCCTGCAGGAGCAGAGCAGGGTTGAAATGGGCCCTTTTTCTGACCAAGGCCAGGGATCTGACTGACTAGATCTTTCCCAGATGCCTGGCTTTACTATGTATACTGTGGCAGACTAAAAATGCAAAAGAAAAACACTGCAGTCCTTGCATAAGTTTCAGTTTATTTTAAGAAGTGTTATTTATTAGCACACACTATGAGACAACACATAGTAAGGCAAGGCGCTGCAGGCACTCAAAGCAGGAAAGACTGGGAGAGGGACGGGAGACTTCAAGGCAGGCTCTGCACTGGCTCCTAAGGGGTAAGTGCCACTTGGACAGCAGAAGAAAATGTGGGAATCCAATCCAAGGACTGGGAAGCTTGAGGAGGGAGGCAGGTCTCAGGCAAGGCATGACCAGAAAGGAAAAGGGGCTTGGACCAGACACTTTAAGTTATGTGGTAAGAAGTAAACCTTTCTCCCCATTGCCTGTTCTGCCTTCTACACAGACCATCTCTTTGATTTAATCATAGTCTTTGGCCAACCTGAATTCCTTTGCTTGATTGGCTGCCTATATTTCACACATGGTCTCCTGGTTTTGTTCTGCTCTTCCCAAAAGTAAAGAAATAGCAACAAATATCTATGCAAATGATTCACCATTTCTTATCTTGACAGGGCAACTACTGGCCTCTGTTATTCAACTTTTGGATCCCACCAACTCTTTTTTCCTGGGCACTATCACAGTCAATTCTCTAAAACACAAATTTGATCATGCTTACAAATGCTTCATTTTTTTCCCACTTTTCCCTCACCCTAGTCTGTGCCATCACCTTCATCTTGACTATTGCTACAACCTCCTAGCTCATCTCTCCTTTTCCACTTTTGCCCTCACCCAAGTCCATTTCCCATATGAAAGCCAGGGTGAACTTGTTAAAACCTGCTAGATCAAGTCACTCTGTTTCAGTCTCCAACGGCACCCCGATCCAGATCCACTCCAAGTAATGCCAAAGTCTTTACAGTGGCCTACACGGTCCTTCACAATCTGGTGCCCGGCTAGCTCCCCCGTTTCATCTCAAGCCTCCCACCCTGCCCACGGCTCTCCCTGAACTCCTCACGATTCCTGGAAGACACTAAGCATGCTTCTGCCTTGGAGCCTTTGCTCCAGCTGTTGCCTTGCCTTGGAAGCCTCTTCCTGTACATATGACTATGGCCCCCCACCCACCTGCTTTAGCTCTTTCTTCAAATGTCACCTCATCATAGCAACCTTCCCCCACCACCCTATATAAAATAGCACCCCGTCCTGAACTGTCACTGTTTTATTTTTTCCTTTTTCATAGACCTTACCACCTGACATATCGTAGTTTTATTTGTTTACAGTCTGTATTCCACAGCACAATAGAAACTCCAGGAGAGCAGGAATACTATTTATTTTCTTTATTGCTGGATCTCCATTGATTGATTCTCCTAGAACAGCTCTAACATACAGTGGATTCCCCATAAATATTTGTCTTAAGATTAAAACCTTCCTCCCCCCCCCCAGGGGCGCGGTGGCTCACGCCTGTAATCCTAGCACTCTGGGAGGCCGAGGCGGGTGGATTGCTCCAGGTCAGGAGTTTGAAACCAGCCTGAGCAAGAGCGAGACCCCGTCTCTACTATAAATAGAAAGAAATTAATTGGCCAACTAATATATATAGAAAAAAATTAGCCGGGCGTGGTGGCGCATGCCCGTAGTCCCAGCTACTCGGGAGGCTGAGGCAGCAGGATTGCTTGAACCCAGGAGATTGAGGTTGCTGTGAGCTAGGCTGACGCCATGGCACTCACTCTAGCCTGGGCAACAAAGCCAGACTCTGTCTCAAAAAAAAAACAACAAACAAAAAACCTTTCCCCCTGTGCCCGGTTCAGGTTCACTCTTCACTAATACTCAGTCAAGTTCTCTCCTCTGGGGCTCTACTCCTACCCCCAGGTTCATATCTCAGCAGCTCCTCCCCACCCCGGGCCTCTCTCCAGCACAGCTCATAAAATACTATGACATTTTTCTGCCTGTTACCTCTTGGTCACTTCTTCCAAACCGTGTTCCTACAGGGTCAAGAGCTTGGCTCAGGCACCTTCAAACCTCCAGAACCAGTGTGGTACATGAAAGACAATCAAAAATATGCAAGATTGCATAGGTAAGACGTACTCTCAGATCCTTGGCATGAGTTAGCCACTTTAAGTCACATCAACAGCATTCCCAACGCTGCAGGTCACACCTTGGACTGTAATAAATGATCCTGTAACATCTTTTAGACAGCTGCTTACCCTTCTTCCGGATATAATGGGACCTCATCAACCCCACTTAAAGGCTAGCAAAGCTATCAAGAAGTATCAGATGTTCTCTTTCCTCCGGCTGTCATAAAAAATGCCATGGCCAAATGATGGCGCTGAAAGCAAGGAACTAGAAATGGCATATCCTAAGTTGAGAAAACTCAATTCCTAAACTAGTAAATACTATCTTTGAGCCAATTTCATACCTCCTGGAGATCCAATTACCTCATCAATCACATGGGTTCTCTGAACTGGAGAAACAAGAGCTTTACAGCAGACCAGGTGACAGGGCACTTCCAGAAAGGAGAACATGTGCAACTACAATTCCCACATACGTGGTTGGCAACCCTGCTTTCTCCTCCAATTCCCGCATATGACCCAATTCTGCAGGGAAATTGCTGAAATTTTAACTCGGGAAACTTTGTAACTTTGAAACTCTCTAAGCAGAAAAAAAGAGAATGGGCAGCTGGTGAATAAAAGTATCTAATTTTACTAAAACTGTTCCTCTAAGACCCAAATAATCCGCTCAATTAGAACACTGAATTTACAGTATGTTGTTTTCAATTACTCAGTGTCCTCTGAGACCAGACCAGTAACAGTTCACAGAGCTGACTGTGTACCAACAACTGAGTACAGAGAGGAGCACCATTATACTTGTCAACCTTTTTTTTTTTTTTGGACAGAGCTCACTTTCTTGCCTGGGCTAGAGTGCTGTGGTGTCCGCTAGCTCACAGCAACCTCAAACTCCTGGGCTCAAGCAACCTTCTGCCTCAGCCGCTCCCTAGTAGCTGGGACTACAGGCATGTGCCACCATGCCCGGCTAATTTTTCTATATATATCTAGTTGGCAATTAATTTCTTTGTATTTATAGTAGAGACGGGCTTGCTCTTGCTCAGGCTGGTTTCGAATCCTGACGACGTCGAGTGATCCCCGCCTCGGCTCCCAGAGTGCTGGATTCAGGCATGAGCCACCGCGCCCGGACTACTGTCAACCTTTGTACACATACACAGCTGCCCTAACTCCATCACCATCCACAGTATCCAAGCTGGAAACCTGGACGCATATCCACGAGTCCTTCGTTCTTCCCCTTTATGCGCTGCAGCTCAACCAAAAGCTCCAAGGAAATGTTTCGCTAAGATTCACAGCGGCTGCTTGCTCCTTCTAAACAGCTCAAATCCTTGCCTCTACCACATGACAGCATTAAGCCAGGTAACAGCAATCTAGATCTATGCAGTCTAATATGGCAGCCACTAGCCATGTGTAGCTATTCACTTGTATTTTTTAACTAAGGATTTAGATGTTCCCCAGTCACAAACTGGTTTTAAATATTAGGGGGAAAAAACAAACAAACTTGCAATGAGGCTAGTCCAAATTGACATGCGTGGTAAGTATAAAATACACACCAGACCTTATACCAACAGAAGAACGTAAAAATGTCTCATTAGTAATTTAAAAATATTGATTATATGTAGAAATGGTAGTATTCTGGATATATTGGGTTACATAGTATTATGTATCACTAAAAGTAATTTCACTTGTTTCTTTTCACATTGTGGCTATGTGAAAATTTAAAAATACTTATGGCTTGTATTTCTTTTGGATAGCATTGCTCTAGATTGTTCTAGATCTCCACCTCCAACCATCATCTTTCTCTCAAACTTTGCCTCCTGCCATACACCCATGCTTCTGCCACGTGGACTCTTCCATGATAACATCATTCTTTTTTTGTCTCCTTGCTTTTATACATCTTTTTCTGACCATAATGTACTTTCTTCCATCAGCTCTACAGGAAAAATTCCTAGTCATCTCTCTAGAACCAGTTCAGTGGTCCCTTCCCTACTGAAGCTTTTCCAGAACCTCCCCATCCACCTTTAGCATCTGGTCCACATCTCCAGCTCAGAACTACAGCCATCTATTCACATTGTTCTTCCTCAAGAATTTCTAAAATTCCTTTTCATTTCAGTATCTCCAACACCAAGTGTGTTGAGATTGTCCAGAATCACCTGGAAGACTTTTCTAAATTGCCCATGCATGGAAGGCCCTGGCAAGCATCTTGTAAAACCTCCTCAGGTGGTTCATTATGAAAGAGCAACAACTAAGATTTATTGAACACTCAATGCAAGCCAGGCACCGAGCTCATATAGAGTGCCCAAGGTGCTACTCGAACATTTAAGCTGAAACGTGGGATGGCGACATCACTGCAACCCAAACAGACAAAAGCAGAATATAATGGCCTGCCGGACAACAAGTGATGTCTTTTGACCATGAAAGAAATTGGAACCTTTATGAGTGCACTGTCAGCAGTATCTAGGCTCACCTCCGTAGAAACACAGGAGTAAAGCATTCCTATGTCAGAGGACCACAGTAAAGGGGCCGATCATTAATCGCTCAAGAAACATAACTTAAATCAAACTGGATAAAATTCATCTTGGATAAGTCTTATACCGAATCTTCCTCATACTCTCATCCCTGAATCCAGTAACTTCCACACCATTTTGAGCATCATCCCATCAAACCACAACTGAAGAAAAAGCATCATGTCTCCAAAAGAGATGAAGTTTTATTCTGTGTACATTCTCGGTTAAAATATCTTTTTGAGCAAAATCCTGTCCGTGTTTGAACACCAGGTGTGTGTGTCGCAAGAAACGCGAGCCAATTGCCCTTCGCTCCACGTTCATCCAATGCACACTTCAACGGTAGGGGGCATCCACGCTAGCATTTCCAACGCGAGCGGATTTATTCACAATAGCCAAAATACGATCCGAGGAAATAGCCTTATACGCCACTGTCGAGTCACGAATACAATGCTTCACTGGGCAAAGGTAGGATAGTTAAACTGGAGAAGGAGACGTGTTGACACGAACTCTGTTATATATGCATAAAGATCACAGCAGATGATTCCATGCAGTTTCTATAACGAGAAATATACTCACTGTATAGTTATTTAGTGGCAGTGCAGTCACGTGCTGGAAAGAGCAACATTTTAGGCTATAGTATAATCTAATAAGTGATTTTATTTAGCCTGTAAACGGAAGGAGGGAAGCATTCTGTGAGCGTTATAACATCCATAAGGTGTCATCTTTAGTGAAGAAGTAAAGCAGTCTGATCAAATATTTAGCATGAACGTGAGATATTATCAAAATATCACGGAACATGAATACGATAGTCAAAAGAAAATATGTGTGATTCCACTATATACTGATTAAATCTAGAGCCAGAATAGAGTGGCCGGGGCGCAGTGGCTCACGCTGTATCCTAGCTCTCTGGAGGCACGAGCGGCAATTGCTAGGTCAGGAGTTCAAACAAGCGCAGCAAGAGTGAGACCATCTCTACTAAATAAAGAAGAAATTAATGGCCAACTGATAATATATATATAATAATTAGCCGGGCATGGTGGTGCATGCCTGTAGTCCAGCTACTCGGAGCTGAGGCAGAAGGATCGCTCGAGCCCAGGAGTTTGAGGTTGCTGTGACAGCTGACGCCAGGCACTCACTCTAGCCTGGACAACAAAGCGAGACTCTGTCTCAAAAAAAAAAAACAAAAAAAAACTAAAAAAAAAAAAAAATACAGACACCAAAAAAAATTATAGAGTAGCGCTGTATTGGAAGAGAACATGCAATGAAAAAAATGCCAACAAATAACTAAATTTGGCATTCACAGAAAGATACAGTGTTGAGCCCTGTCTTAATTCAGAGTAGGAACTGATTGTAACATTTCTTAAACATATGTTTCTCTTCATAAAGAGTAGCACAATGTTTTCATTCAGCTAAAGATAATCTCAAAGTAATCTGCTAAACTGGTTTTACCTATACATTTACAGATGAAATCTATTGCCGTACTGCCAGACTTGGCCGTATATATCATTACCATCAAGATATGAATTGGCAAAACGTGCACTTATTGCACACAATAAGAAAGCAAAAGCACAAATAAATACACCAAATGATAGGTTAACAAATTCTCTTGTTTCCA